GGATTAACCGTTTTTAAAAATCGGGCCGTTTAACAACACTAAAACATTTTAGAACATTTGAAGAAGAGTCACCATTTTCTTTATAAACGAATGCATCTAATAAGGAAAATACGAAAAATTCCCAATAATTCTGTGCAATTTAAATAAAAAAGTGATGTTTCAAGTAAAATTCTAAAATATTTCGTTGGACTCGTAGAAATCCTTGTAGCCTTTCACTTTCAAATGTAATAACGTTTTGTGCTGATAGTGGGATAAATTTTGGTATAAAGCAAAGTTTAATGACTGTATCATTAATTTCAAATATATACATTTCTCCAAATTTATAATGCAGAAAGGGGCAGACTTTATTATCTATAGATATGGAGGAATATAGTTATTATTAAATGTTACGCCGAATTCAGGATCCACAAATAGGGTAACCGTTTTAGGAAAAATACGAATTCAACACGAAGACTAACATTAATATCGGCTCTAGAAGGACTTTATAAAAATTATTTATCTATTAAATTCTATTTTTTTTTCTAAAAAATTCCAATTCAATATTAAATATATTTTTTGAAAATGAGTTGGCCGAGGCTTATCTTCTAGATACCATGTTTAAAAAATTATCCGAAAATTCAATTGCGGTGGTGATGCTTTCAATAAAGCATAAATTAGTTACAACATTAAAAGCCGTTATCAATAAGGTTTATGGCCCGGTTGAAAAACAAATTCATGGGAGGATCATGATAAAATAACATCATTTCAAAATGAAGCTAATATATTCATCAAATCATATCATATTTAGAAAAAAAATACGAATTTACAAACAATGAGAAAATTTCGATTTATGACACTTGATAATTTTTAATATTGAAAATATCGAATTGGATGAATTATTTCAGGAATATCTTTAAGTACATTCATCGAACAAAATGATAAAATATCAAATTTAGTTCAGTGAAAATAAATGGATACTTTATTTTTCAGAGAACATTGCCCCAGGTTTAAAAAAATGTGTAATATTATTTTCTCATTACCACATTCATATAAATTCAGAGCGTATATTTATTCTAATGAAAATTTTCTTGTGAACAAATTTTCATCATATCAAAAAAGAATGAGTGATTTGATTCCCTCCATCTGTGTCTCATTTTTATAATGCCACAAATAATCGTACCGAATCAAAAATTCAAAAAGATTATTACAATCTTCTCAACCTTAAATAGTTTTTTCAAAAATGCGTCAGCCATTGTAAATTCTATGAACTTTGAAAAAAAATATAAAACAAAGTTTCTATTTTCATTTAATGCTTTATCTCCTGAACGTAGATACATATTAACAACTTATGCCTTTAAAAAAATATATTGATGAAATTGGTGAGCGGTGGAGATATATGATACAGGATTATTTTAAATGTATCATTAGAAATGTACGTGTAATTATCCATCCACAATGTCCCTGCCATGTAGGCATATAATGGCTCTGCGTGCATCCTATAATTTAGACAAATACTGTCCTGAACTGTGCAGCAAGAGATCGACTAAAGCTTATTCTATCATGTGGCCTATAAAATTTGTCGATGTGCCAATCTGATATCTCCATTAATACTCATACATTAAAAATTATTCCCAAGAATAAATTATCACAATGAGAAAAATATTATAATATTTTTCAAAAACTTACTTCACAAGCTCAATATATTTCCCATCTCCCACAGGATAAATTTAAATTTATAGAAAAACAAATAGACATTACGGTAAACGTAATCAAGATGATGTATTATTCTATGTTATACCATCAGATTTGGCTTCCTCTCGATAAAAGATAGGTATTTTCAAAATATTAAAATCTTTTATATATTTTTATTTATTTTATTTAATGTCCCATCTGATCTTCTCTACGATTTTGCTGCCTCTGCATATGAGATTGGCATTTTTAAAATATTAAAATCGTTTATATATTTCAGACCCTGCTAATGTACCATCTATATATTTTTTTATTTTAAAATATTTTTAATTAAGATAATCAAGTTAATGATTGTGACATCCTGTTATCATAAATTATCTTGTATTTTTTATTCTATATTCAAATAAAAATTTAGTATAGATCTAAAATGATTAATGATAGAGATAAACAAAAAGAGAAAGAATGTAAATCTTATTTGGAATTGATATATTTATTATATATTATTTTCTTTTACTAATTTAGGCAATGAAAATATGGAGATAATGAATATCAAATTGCCAGCCAGGATGAAAAGACAGGTAAGACATAAAAAAAATTGGATTTTACAGTTATAGATTTATCAAGAAAAATTTAGAAAAATAAAATTGTTAAAATTTAGAAAGTACGGATATAAGATTTTGTATTTTATTTTATATAAAATTATTTTCACTACCACAAAATTTGAGGAAGGAATTTATTGATTTCTTAATAAAGGATAAAATATTATTCAAGTTTTTATATTAATTTTTTATTGGCTATATTTTAATATACAAAATCGGATTTTACAAGAGTCCTCAGATAATATACCAGATATTGCTAATAATCTTGGTAGTAAATTATTTTTATAAAATATTTATATATTTTTATCAGAAATGAAACCTAAGGCTTATGTCTCACTCACAGAAATAGGAAAATATGTGTGGATTTTAAACAAAGTATGTAAATTAAACGCATAAAGAAAATTGGAAACAATATATTAGTTTGCAGTGACGATATACCAATTAAAACAACATTCGATATGCGATGCCTAGAAAATAACGTTGTAGTTATCGATATCCTTGAACACCCTTTTTACACCTGGATGCTTGGAAAAAACTTCAAGATTTATATTAAAATATACTAGCAGAACCATGGCTATGCCATGGATGTCATTTATTGTTAAATGATGATTTATCAGTCATGTGCGATATGTATCTTAATCGGTACCATTTTCGCTGTGAAAATATTACAAAAAAACCTCGGAAAAAAATTTAATTTTGTCTTATCTTCTTTAAACCGAAATGTTGAAATTATTTAATGTTTTAAGTTTTTGCTATATTCGAAATAAAAATGGCTGTTAGACATAATTATAATTGATGATTTTACAAATTATTTATAAAATATAGGGTATTCTTAATATAGGAATATTAGTTAATTCTATTTACACCAGAGATAAAGTTATATTTTCTATTTGCACTAGGATGGTACTGATACCATTTTTGGAGGCCGATCCGATCCGATATTCCCAATACTAAATTGATATAGGCCGATTACCGATCCGATATCATGTATAATTTTGTATTCTGTAAAATACATAATAAGTAATAAACAAATATATATGAAATTTGAAAAAAATATTTAAAACAATATTTAACATTAATATATCAAAGATTTCTTTTTAGAAATGCCAAAATTTCCAATTTATCAGAGGTCAACCTGCGGCGATGGTAACTGACAATATCATCAGCTTCACAAAACCTGAGTGAAGAGATTATCGCACACTTTTATAAACAGAATGCCCCAAAAAAAATAACAATATGGCAGAATGTTTATTAATTATTAAAAAAATATTACATTGGATTTAGATTTTATTTATAAAAATAAATGATTTTAGATATAATTTTTTTTTTGTTAGAGACGCCATTTTATATCGGATAGGAAATTACTGGCCGATAACCGATATTTTAAAATGGATGAGATATCGGCCTGATCCGATCTGATAAAAAATATCGGTACATCCCTAATTTGCACCATAGATGAAGTTATGAGTTTATATTTTTCCATTTATCCCCATAAATTCTTGTTGCACCATACACGAAGTTATAAGTTTATATTTTTCTATTTACTAAATTCTATTTGCACCATAGATGAGGTTATAAGAGTTTATATTTTCTATTTAACCCCCATAAATTCTAATTGCACCATAGATGAGGTTAAATGAAGTTTGTATTTTTCTATTTAACCCCATATTCTATTTGCACTATAAATAAAGTTATAATTTTATATTTTGCTATTTACCCCAAAAAATTTTATTTGCACCATAGATAAGGTTATAAGTTTATATTTTTCTATTTGCACCATTAATGGGGGTACATGAAATTTTTCCATTTACCCGATTTTTGGTTGCAAGCAGCCACAGTCAAATTTATTAGGAGTGCTCTTTGACAAAGGAATTCCTCACAAATTAAAAGTGAAGATACAAAGCTCCATAATACAACCAACTATTTTATATAATTCAAAAACATGACAAGCAAAGAATCAGTCAAGAGAAGTTTAATGGCAATGGAGATGAGAATGATGGCAGGGGTATCAAAAAAGGATAAGATAAGAAATACAAATAACTGGGAAGTTAACATGTAATGCCCATTATAACAAAGATATGGTGATCAATCTTAGGTGGTATAGACGTATGATGAGAAGGCCTAACTATATAGAAACAAGGTTAAGAGTTTAGATATGATGGGTAAATGAAAGAGAAGGCAAAAACTCCAATGGATCAACAAAAAAAAAGCCAATGACTAAATATAAATTATATAAAATGAATTGTATGAATAAATAAAATGGAATATTGAAGAAGCTTACCACCCAAAAAGGAAAAATATATAAAATCTGCAAACTCTTTAATTAATTTTTTTTTTAATTTTTATTGTTAAATAAAATCAGCAAATTCTTATATTAAAAATTATATATTATCTAGGGCATTAGAATTATATAAATTTCATTAATACATTTTATCACCCATTAATTTATATATAATCTAGAAATATTTTAAAAAAGTAAACATTTACTAATATGTCATCATTAATATAGCAATATATTTAAATAATAAATTATATAAAATCTATTTACAATATATTAACAAATAGTAGAATAATTAGATATATTTGGTTTACAATTATGCATTTTGACTTTAAACTACATTTAATACAATACACGTGCAAGTTATAAATTCAAAAATATCATATCAATGCTTAACCTAATCATTCATTTATAATAATTTGGCAAAAAATATATTTTTACAAGACAGTTATTACTTTTTTAATGATTTGGCTAAAATAATCATTGTAATCAACTTTCAATGTAGATTTATAGGTGTTAATTTTAGATGTATCAATTAATATACTCCATATCAAAGGTCTTAGTTTAATGGGTATGCCTGATCTAACTATAAGGTATTTCAAATTTTGTAAAGAGTGTTTTGAACAGCTATTATCAATCTGCAAAAAAATATAAATACTGTATTTTTTATTTATCTTCTAGAAGTTTAATAACAAATAACTTCGTTTTTATATAATTATATAATCGTTGAATGTAATGTTAAATACTTTTATTAAATCAAACTCTTTTGAAAGGTCTAAGATGGGAGATAGACCATAGAATTTTATCCAGTTATTTTGAGAGGCTTTTTCTTCCAACAATAAAGTTTTAATATCTTTATCATCTATTAAAAAAAATTATAAAATCTTTCATATGATATTACTCATATTTGCAAAAATAGTTTGGTAGATATATTGGTCATTAATATTTTTTTCAGTATCCATAATAATAGAAGATAATATCATATCATATCAAGCTCGTTGGTCATAGACCTGCCCAAAGTGAATGAACGTGATACATGGAGGGCCGCCCTCCATATAATTATGCCGATTCTCAATGATACCAACAAACCTTGTAACTCAGTAGTTTAATCATAAAAGAGTGGAACTACACTTTATCCGATTATAGTATTTGTAGAGTTATGAGTAATATAAGAGTGAAGATAAGAAGAAAAAGAAGAAAAGAAGGCTATTTCTTCCAAATATAAAATAGTTATTATTTTATAAGTTCCTTCAACAGCATTTATTATATAGAAGCTGAATAACATTTCTTAAAATACTAGGAGCTAAATAATATTGGAGAGCTTTCTTAATATAACTTAAAATATCATATTAAATACTGACTAATTATTTATAAATTGAATATTATCTACCTATAACATAAACGGTCTATATAATAAAATATCTTTCTTACCAAATTACTCTCTAATGAAGAATTGAACCTGATTTCCCTGCAGGAAACTCATATGAGAAACGACATGAAAGCTGTTGTTAGAGATTTTACATTGCTAAATTTAAAACGACTATGAACAATTAGTCGGGTACTGCCTTTCTGATCAAGAATAATATCTACCAATTATTTAGGAAGTACCTATGTCAGAAAGAATGGCTGCCCTATATATTAACAGCCTTTAAACCAGCAATTCTTTTAAATATATATGCACCCCCAATTCTAAAAGAGAAACTGCTTTTCTTTGATGAGCTAGAAAATATTATTGATGCATTACCCAAAAGGTACAATCTGATTATTTTCGGAGATTTTATTGCTAAAATTGGTAAAGACGTATCTTACAAGAAAAATATTATCGGTAACGCTACTATGTCATGCCCTAACCAGAGTTGTTAAAAGATCGAATCAATCGACGATCCTGGATTCGATCGCAAATTTGTCAATTTTACGAGATTTATGATTCTGACTTATTGAGGATCGAGATCATTTTGTTTAAAATTCGATCCCGATCTTTTCAAAAATTAATTTTTTACTTAAAAAGCAATAAATAAAATAAAGATTTTGAAAATTAAATTAAAATATTATTTTTAAAAAAAATATCTATCTTCATATTTTATCAACTTCCATTATAAACTTCCATTTCACCATTTATTATATATTTATTCATTTCCTAAATTTTACGAGATTTAGAGCTCTTACAAGTTATTTAATATAAATTTATAATAATATATTAATATTTATTTTAATAGGTAAATGTAAATGTCCATTATAGATTTAGAAGATTCTATTGCTTCTACTATTGATGTAACAGCAGATATAAGTGAGAATGAGAATCTTTTAACATTTTTGAAATTACGTAAGTATTTTACTTTATGTGAAATGGATGAAAGCAACTTTTATAATATGATCAGCACCAAATGCCGTCTCTGTAAGAAGATAATATTATCTTCCAATATCATCCTCGAACTTAAAGAGACATTTACAAGTAATTCTTTTAAATTTTTTTTATTTGATAATCTTAATGTCAACATGTTTAAATTTAATTTATTACATTCCTGAGTTGAGCAGGTCCTACAGAAATAGAATCTAGATACAGATTCTTTATATAAAAAATCAATTATTAGATACAGTATAATTAATAAAATATTTGATGAAGAGTTCATCTTGGTTTTGTTATTTATATATAATAATTAGGCATTTCTTTTTTAATATTACTATTATATTAGTTTAATTTTCAAAAGAAGAGTATTTATAATAAATGGAAGTGTAATAACTAATAATTAAGCCTTTATAATGTATTTTGACTTTCTTTAATATAATTAAAACATCCAGTTCAATGTAATTTGTATTGAACTTAGCAATGTTTCACCAAAAGAAAAATAAATATCTATTCTATTATTTCTTTATTATATGTTAAATCTAATCAATTAGTATTATAGTTTCAGTTTGAGCTTGATCATATAATCCTCTTGAAAACATTTTTAGGGCTTTTTTTAATAATATATTTTGAATTGAAAGTATTTTTTGTATCATTTGACTCAATCCATAAGTTCTTAAATGCCAAAAAGCCTCATTATATTCATAATAGGAAAATACTTTCTCAAAATCTTTGGCCCATATCATCTTGGGCAACTTTTAATAATGATAGACAATATTGTAAACTTAAATTTTTAAGATAACCTACCCCCTTTTAACCACTAATAAAACATACTTTAATATGTTTAACAAAATTTGTTGAACCCTTAATCCATAGTTCATAAATGCCAAAAAGGCTAATTATATTCATATATAGGAAAATATTTTATCAAAATCTTTAGCCCATATCATCTTGGGCAACTTTTAATAATGATAGATAAAGACAATATTGTAAACTTAAAATTTAAAATAACCTATATGAACCTTTTTTAACCATATATAAATTAAATAATATAATTTAATATGTTTAACAAAATTTGTGTTGAACCCTTTATCATTTTTTTGTTTATATAGGTTTTATATTTAGCCTGTACATTGTTTTTTTTAACTTTAAATTTCCATATAAAATTTTAAAAATGAAATTTGATTCAGGAGAAGTTATTTTCATCCAACTTTGATACATATTATTTTTTTCTTTTATAAAGAAAAAGCACAGTGAATTTAAAAATGAGATTACCAAACACCTCAACGAATTCTCTACATATCACTGCAAAACTAAAGGGGTTCTGGTTGCACATCCAGACAATCTAAATTAAATTTTAACAATCTAAACATTCCAGCTGTATCGCAAAAAACAGCAGACAAGGTTATCATGGATTTTATTATTGACACCTTCCAACCACTGTCTCTGGTTGATGATCCTTCATTTGAAAAAATGATTAAAACTTTTTCTCCTGCGACAAAAATTATTTGTCGCCAAACACTGGGCAACAGGATATCTACTTCCTTCTCTTATATGACGACAAATCTTATAAGAGATTTGTCTGCACCACTGCTGATTGTTGGAGTGGCCATCAAAGGTATATTATATTTATATGAATTTTATAATGTTTATTTTATTAGGGCTGTTATTGGACTTACTGCACATTGTATGGAACCGTTAACCCTCAAGAGAAGATCAGCCGCTTTGGCACTGAGGAGGATAATTGGGTGGCAAACATATGATGTTTTGGCCAACGAAATCATGGGTGTCCACAAGTTCTATAAAATTCATAATAAGGTGGTAAAGATGGTGACTGACAATGGAACTAACTTTGTCAAGGCATTTAAGTAATATTTATATTTAGCAAAAAATATTTAAATAAATTTATTTTTTCTAGAGTTTTTGTAGAAAATGAAGAAGATAGTAGTGAGGATATGGAATTGATAAATTTGGATGACATATTATCCGTTGATGACCCAATTATTCCTACTATCAGTCTACCAAAACATCAACGTTGTTGTTGCCATAATCTTAACCTTATTGCAACAACAGATGCTGAGATGGCAGATAGTGATCTCAATTATAAATGAATATCTAGATCCACTTTTGCAAAATGTTTTGCTTTAGTTAATAAACAAAATATGTCGTCAAAAATGGCGGATATTTTATTGGAGAAATTGGGAAGATATTTAATAGCTCCCAACAAGACAAGATGGAATTCTTATTATCAATCCGTGAAATTAATAGATAAGATGCTTTCTGAAAAGTTTTCAGAAGTAGAACAAGTATGTGATCAAATGGATTTGCAATGTTTAGGCAAGAGAAATGTTTTTTGTTAAAGAGTAAGCAACAGTAATACAATGATATTCTCTAAATAAATTTAAATTTTATAGGTTATGGAACCTTTGGCGATCTCGTTAAAAATTTTGGAACGGGAGGATAATATGGAGCAGAGATATCTAACTCAATTTAGCTGCCTGAGGTATTGTAAGCCCCTTGTAGATAGTGTTCTTAGAGGTATTGATAAAAGGTAATATTTTTTTATGCAATTATTTTATATTATCAGATATCTGCAAAATATATTAAAAAATAAAGATCTGGCAAATTTAGTAAAATATTTTTAACAGGCCAGTTCTACTAAACCTTTGATATCTAATAAAATATTAATGGGCCTTTGAAGACATTAAAAATTTATTAGATTATTTGAATTTTAAGCTAATATTTTGATTATTATTCTTTGTAAATTGTAAATAAATTACAATGTTAATTTCTTTGTATATTAAGTATTAAGTTTACATTTAATCAATATTTATGATATGATCCAAATATAAATAAATACCATACAGATGATGTGCCAGACTTGACTGTAAAATTTTAAAGGGTTAAGTTTTGCAGATACTTGATTTGATTTATATGAATAAGAGGAACACTTATTTAATAATAAATTAATTATCATTTCATAATATAGATTTCCTTCACTGTATGAAGACAGTAACATTTTGGCAGCCATGATTCACCCTAAATTTAAACTTAATTGGCCTTATATTAATCTGCCACAAAATATGATGGTAAAAGAAAGATTAGTTGCCCATTTGGAAAATATGCAATAAAGACCATATGCGGATACCTCAAATGAATGTATGGATGATATTGATGATTTTTTGGGGGAAAATACTGTACAAAATGCTTGTTCCGTTAAAAAAAATTTTTATTCAAATGATGATTCCATGAATATTTTTAATACTTATATTAATTTTAAAAAAATATTTATTGAATATAATACACCTTTGCCCGCTTGTTAAGTAAAGCTAAACATGTTCTAAATGAAAGACGCGGATGTTTAAATTATGATAATTTAGAAAAAAATTTATTATTAAAAGCTAATTTTAATTATAAATAAATATATTATAATTGTTATATTTATTATTCAATTACAATAAATTTCTACCATATTTAATTTATTTTTATATTAGTTAATTTTGCATAGGTTATATTATATTATTATTCAATTACAATAAATTTATAACATATATTAGTTAAATTTGCATCGGTCAGAAATTTCTTTCAGAAATTTAAATAGAAAAAAAGATCGTGATCGCGATATTTTTTTTAAAAAAAGGTCGATCATGGATGTCGATCCTCTTTTTTTGAAAAGATCGTGATCGGGATTCGATCGTTTTAAAAAGATCGGTTAACAAGGTTTAGATAGTTTTTCTTTGCTAGAATTATGTAAAATCAAAAACCTTAAAATCGAAAATACTTTCTTTCAACATAAAAATCAACATATTTTTAC